TTACATACCTGTAAATACACCAACTATTACAATACTCTTTTATCCCCTTGTAATACACCAACTATTACAATATTCTCTTCATTCACTTTTACTATACCCTGTAAACACAATATCATAACTATTACAATATTCTTTCATCATTTATTACATCCCTGTACACTATCAACTACTATACAATACTCTAATATTCTTTCATCACTTTTACATACCTGCAACATACACCAACTATTACAACAATATTCTTTCACCATTATTACATACCTGCAAACACACTCAACTATTACAATACTTCTTTTCATCATTATTATATACCTGTAACACACCAACTATTACAATACTCTTCATCATTTTTACATCCCTGTAACACACCAACTATTATACACTCTTTCACATACATACTTCTTATCATTTTACATCCCTGTAACACACCCAACTATTACAATACTCTTCACATTATTTTTACATACCTGTAAACACACCAACTATTACAATATTTCTTCACCATTATTACATACCTGCAACACACCAACTATTACATAATATTCTTTCATCACTTTACATACCTGCAACACACCAACTATTACATAACTATTCTTAACTTCACCACAAAACTCTTACATACCTGCAACACACCAACTATTACAATACTCTTCATCATTATTACATACCTGCAACACACCAACTATTACAATATTCTTCATCATTTTACATCCCTGTAACACACCAACTATTACAATACTCTTTATCATTTTTACATCCCTGTAACACACCAACTATTACAATACTCTTCATCACTTTTACATACCTGCAACACACCAACTATTACAATATTCTTCATCATTTTTACATCCCTGTAACACACCAACTATTACAATATTCTTTATCATTTTTACATTCCTGTAACACACCAACTATTACAATATTCTTTATCATTTTTACATCCCTGTAACACACCAACTATTACATACTCTTCATCTATCATTTTTTACATACCTGCAACACACCAACTATTACAATATTCTTTATCATTTTTACATCCCTGTAACACACCAACTATTACAATACTCTTTATCATTATTACATACCTGCAACACACCAACTATTACAATACTCATCATCACTTTTACATACCTGCAACACACCAACTATTACAATATTCTTCATCATTTTTACATCCCTGTAACACACCAACTATTACAATACTCTTTATCATTTTTACATCCCTGTAACACACCAACTATTACAATACTCTTCACCATTATTACATACCTGCAACACACCAACTATTACAATACTCTTTATCATTTTTACATCCCTGTAACACACCAACTATTACAATACTCTTCACCGTTATTACATCCCTGTAACACACCAACTATTACAATACTCTTCATCACTTTTACATACCTGCAACACACCAACTATTACAATACTCTTCATCATTTTTACATCCCTGTAACACACAAACTATTACAATACTCTTTATCATTTTTACATCCCTGTAACACACCAACTATTACAATACTCTTCATCACTTTTACATACCTGCAACACACCAACTATTACAATATTCTTCATCATTTTTACATCCCTGTAACACACCAACTATTACAATACTCTTTATCATTTTTACATACCTGCAACACACCAACTTTTACAATACTCTTTATCACTTTTACATACCTGCAACACACCAACTATTACAATACTCTTCACCATTTTTACATACCTGCAACACACCAACTATTACAATACTCTTTATCACTTTTACATACCTGCAACACACCAACTATTACAATACTCTTCATCATTTTAACATACCTGCAACACACCAACTATTACAATACTCTTCATCACTTTTACATACCTGCAACACACCAACTATTACAATACTCTTCACCATTATTACATCCCTGCAGCACACCAACTATTACAATACTCTTCATCACTTTTACATACCTGCAACACACCAACTGTTACAAAACTCTTCACCATTATTACATACCTGCCACACACCAACTATTACAATACTCTTCATCACTTTTACATACCTGCAACACACCAACTATTACAATACTCTTTATCATTTTTACATCCCTGTAACACACCAACTATTACAATATTCTTCACCATTATTACATACCTGGAACACACCAACTATTACAATATTCTTCACCATTATTACATACCTGCAACACACCAACTATTACAATATTCTTCACCATTATTACATACCTGTAACACACCAACTATTACAATACTCTTTATCATTTTTACATCCCTGTAACACACAAACTATTACAATACTCTTCACCATTATTACATACCTGCAACACACCAACTAGTACAATACTCTTTATCACTTTTACATACCTGCAACACACCAACTATTACAATATTCTTCATCATTTTTACATCCCTGTAACACACCAACTACTACAATATTCTTCATCATTTTTACATCCCTGTAACACACCAACTATTACAATACTCTTTATCATTTTTACGTCCCTGTAACACACCAACTATTACAATATTCTTCATCATTATTACATACCTGCAACACACCAACTATTACAATAATCTTCATCACTTTTACATACCTGCAACACACTAACTATTACAATACTCTTCACAATTATTACATCCCTGTAACACACCAACTATTACAATACTCATTATCATTTTTACATCCCTGTAACACACCAACTATTACAATATTCTTCATCATTTTTACATACCTGTAACACACCAACTATTACAATACTCTTCATCATTTTTACATCCCTGTAACACACCAACTTTTACAATATTCTTCATCATTATTACATACCTGCAACACACCAACTATTACAATACTCTTCATCATTTTTACATACCTGCAACACACCAACTATTACAATACTCTTCATCATTTTTACATCCCTGTAACACACCAACTATTACAATACTCTTTATCATTTTTACATTCCTGTAACACACCAACTATTACAATACTCTTTATCATTTTTACATCCCTGTAACACACCAACTATTACAATATTCTTCATCATTATTACATACCTGCAACACACCAACTATTACAATACTCTTCATCACTTTTACATACCTGCAACACACTAACTATTACAATACTCTTCACCATTATTACATCCCTGCAACACACTATTACAATACTCTTCATCACTTTTACATACCTGCAACACACCAACTATTACAAAACTCTTCACCATTATTACATACCTAAAACACACAAACTATTACAATACTCTTTACCATTATTACATACCTGCCACACACCAGCTATTACCATACTGTTCATCATTATTACATCCCTGCAACACACCAACTATTACAATATTCTTCATCATTATTACATCCCTGCAACACACCAATTATATATAATCCTCGCCGTCATTATTGCATTTGTGAATTTGTGCCAGTTCTCATTATACAAGATGACCGAAAGATTTCGGATGAAGCTTTGCAGTATGACTACTTTCCCCCATCTAAATAACAAATGCCAGCTTGATAACCACATTCCTTCCGAAACTGTCCTGAAAAGAAACACGTGCTGTTTCACACGACTGATTTTGTATTCTGTAGTCGCAGCTTATGCTCGCTCGGGCCAAGATCCACGTTTACGAAACGTATCGCGTCCACGTCCATGATATTTAATGAACACATAATTCAAGGCAACATGTTACCTTTACGATTATATATGATGTAATCCTTGACACGATGTCGTTTTCAGACAGCATCATCGTTTTGGGACACGATACCTTTGTAGGTTGGAATCATGTTACAATCAGACCCGGTCCTCAACGTGGCTTCAGGCTTTTACGCCGCTTTTAGCAATATTCCAGCAATATCAAGGCGGGGGACACCAGAAATGTGCTTCACACATTGTACCGATGTAGGGGATCGAACAGGGGCCTTCGGCGTTACGAGCGAACGCTTTAACCAGGAGTGCGGTTATGGCTCATAAACATTCTAATCACCTTTATCAGTAGCAGGCATTTTGCAAAGGTGATAGTAAACGATATATTTCCTTCTGAAGTGACAATAGAAATCCTCAAACGTTTGATGAAACTGGAATGTACGAAACAATAATCTGTCGATGAATAAATGATTTTGTAGCCAGTATTATTTTTTCTTTTGTAGAACCCAAATTGGGAGGCATGTTGAGACATATTGTAGATGAATATAATAGAGACACTTCACGAAAAAACGAATATATAACCCTGAAGATAAAGTTGACACGCGTAGAAGAAGAATTGGAGTTGTCAGTGTATTGACCTTCGCTTTACATATACAATGACTGATTGGGGTTTATTGTTGCTTTGACATGCATTTGCAAATGAGTGAATGAGTATTGTTTTTTATTATTAGTATGCTATTTTAGCCATACTTTCGCAATAGTATCAAGGGGTATACACCAGGAATGGGTTCCCATGTGAATCAGCATCGAACTACGTTGGCCCCTGGTATAAGGCATAAAAGCATACAAAAAGTAGCTATATATGAAAACGTTGGAAGTCTCACAAGTATATTGGCAGTTGTACTATAACCAAATCATTCAACTTCAGTGGCCTGAAGTATCAAAGCATCATGAAAACACGTGGATATTCCTGGGAAAATAGGTACTTAGTACCAATATTCTCAACCTCATTGTAGTGTCAGACTGGGGTGGTTACATGTGTGGTTTCAGTTATTCTGTTTGGTCTTGTTTAGACTCATTCATTACAAGCGGTCGTGACATGTCTCTAATATTGCTGATTGCGCACTTAAACAACATTTCATCAGTCTCTTTACTAACATATGAGTCCGCTGAGTCCGTTCGCCGTTCGAGGATCCGCAAAACATGCTTTCGAATCCCATACTCAAGAATCGCTAAATACATTTACAATCCAGTGCTTGAGACATTAATGAGATTTACCATTAAATATATTTACCATCCCTTGTTTTTGAGATTTTAATGACAAAACAAGTGACAAATCTTCAATATTCAACAACTTTTATTTCTGGTTCACAACGAACCAAATATATTAATCACAACAAAACGTCGTATCACACAGAATCATCACAGCTGTGGGTGACGAGTGTTCGGACAATTGTAATCTTGCACACTCATATCCTCGTTCATAACGCTCAAACTTAATTTTTTCCTAAACTTCCTATAACCGACTAAAAAACGTTGGTGAAGAAACTCAGCTTTAACAACTGTGCTATAAATGAAACCATTTTCTTAATTTAGAAACAAATTATTAATTTCATGATCTAGAAAAAAAATATAAATCATAAATCACAAATCATAGTTGCATATCATCTGTTCTTTTGGCATATTCAGGCACTTTATAATTTATTTCGTTTCGATTTTGACTTTCTCTATTGATTATTAAATATCTCAAAGACGGTCGTCATCATCCTCTGTGGCGATTGGTGCACGTGGACACGTGACCTGCACTTCAACCTTTGACATGTCAACTGATAACTGCCTCGTTCTGGTGTCTGTGTCAGACACATCTTCTGATGACGATTCATCATCTGCTGACGTGGTATCCATTTGTGAAACTGGAACGCTATCAGCCAAAGGATGGGAAAACTTTTCAGTGACACTCCCTCCGTCAACGTTTCTGGAGAAGCTAACCCGTTCCGATTTGGCTTTATCACTCTTCGCCTCTTTTGATTCCTCGGGAATTCGTCTCAGTCTCGCAGACCGCTTACGTAATGCTTTCTCTGTTGTTCCTTCCGCACTGTCACCTGTGACGTCATAGCTCGCGCTTTCAAGAGACACCTGGTTCAACAACTTCACTCGGTCACCCGAGTCAACGTCCAAGTTCAAACTCGAGTCAACCGACGTTGTTCTTAGAATTCGGCGCAAGAGTACTTCCTGTTGCTGTGCCAGTCGATCGATCTTGTCATTCAACTTGTCAAGTGCGTTGCCGGTGTCGGTCGACTCCCGGTTTCGGACAGACAGATGATTTAACATCTCATAGCGGAAACTGGATATATCTTGCTTCAATTCATCGAAGTCGCCTGAAAAATATATAGATGTCGATTAAACTATATTAACATAGGATAATGTTGTTTATTATAAGTTAATACTATTATATAATTTACATTATTTTTCTATCTAGTCATAGAGAAATTGATCCCTTTAGCAAAACTAATAGTTAGATTTATAAAAGTCCAAACTAAAAGTAATAATATATTTTTCGAAGTTTATCAGTTGTAAATATGCCTGGTTTAAACTATTACTGCTAGCAGTTAACTGAAATTACATTGATATACGCTGACAATGAGTAAATACGTTCACTAAAACAGATCTGTCGGTCTATAAAAGTTTCTCAGCGTTGTTATACTAACAACATCATCTCAAAAGTATATATGTACAGAGGGACAACAAACATATTACGCACCACGTTAGAACCAAGTTAAGAAGAAAGCTTTACAGAAAGTTTGACGTACTTTTTCTCGGAAGTTCTTAAAGTGTTTATTATATCATATCTTGGAATTTCGAAAAGTTTAAAATGTCAAAAATTAAATAGAACTCTTAGAATCATGAAAATATAATGTCTCAGAATCTTTAACAAATGTTTCTGGATTGATAGCAGATAAATATTTTATTTCAGAGTATCAGATGCCAAAAAATGGTTCTCGAGTTGAAATCTTTGGCTTCGATGCACAGTACGGGACAGAGACAGAGACTGACAGGAAATGTTAGAATCTACGAAGAAGGAATAAGTTAAACCAATGCCTACATGTACCTTCCGCACTGTCCGATTCGCGCTGTGTGTCGAAGATGTAGCGTTTGACAATCCTTTTCATCATGCGCTGAAAAAATAAGAACATGCTTAGCTGTGTATTAAAAGATTAGAAACCGTTAGCGTTATAAGTCCAGTTATGGTGTCCCCGCCATGATACTGCTGGAACACTGATAAAATCGGTGTAAAACCATACTCACGAAAGTGGATTTTGTTCATATTGTGATGCGTGACATCAAGAAAACACAACGCCATTCAGAAAGTGGTCTAATGTAACATATGTTGTGCTTGACCTAACTGACTTGGTCAGTTTGACATCAACACACGATAGTAAAGTAGTACGAAATACATTTTTCGAGTTTAGCGTGTATCGAAGCTTAATGACATGTTTTTACGTTAATGATTATATCTTTCTACGGGAATACAGAAAGTGTTGGTAGAATGTTATATTACACTGCTGTCTTACCTTATATGTGAGATTTTCACTGAATATATTGGGGTCGGAATCGTTCCGCACAAACCCATTAGTGGTTGCCATACGTTCCCGGAAGTGCTGGATGCCCGGATTCCGCATAGTGCCGCCATTTTGCCAGTCTGTTGGGGGAGGATCCTGGAAAGAGAGGTTTTTAAATGTGAAGAAATGACACTTTTTGTAAACATGCCACAAATATGAATTGTAACTATTTTCTGAAACCAAGAAAAATATATAAAAAAAACTATCACATCGGTCCCCTCTGCCGTCAGAGAACACTGGACAGGTTGGTCCACGGTGACCCCGACCTGTTTCTAATTGATGTTCATAAAGCATGGGCCGTTAATGTCATTCGTAAAGTCTCTGGACTTACTGAGAACATCAGTAATAGGTGTAACTATCGAATGAGCTGATATATTTGGTTAATAGATACTATGATCATGGAGAATATTCGTATGGTCATCCTAAATGCATGTTGCGAAGAATAATGTAGTTGAAGAGGTCCAAATACAGCATGACATATGAAGGGCGACATATGAATGCACGGGGTGGGGTAGCCTTGTGTTTAAAGTGTTTGCTCATCAAGCCGAAGACACGATTTCCATTCCCCACATGGGTACAATGACAAATTGAATACGCAGTCCTGAGGAACAGCTTAAGACGAATACGCTTCAGCAGGGCCTGCTAATTGCATTGGTCTTGAAACGAGGATAATCTAAAAATCTAATCTGTCTCCATGAATTATTTTATATCGAGCAAACAAAATGTCCTTAAACAGTTCAGGGAGAGGGAATACTCACCACAGCGGCACCGACCTGTGCGAACATCTCGATGTCTTTGATGCGGCCGGGATGGTGAACAGGAGGGGGGTCGTCCTTGCTACAGCAGAACAGTCTGAAGACGAACCTGGCGGCGTAGTAGGCACACTTGGGGGTGGGGACGACGTTGAAGGGCACGGGGAGGGTGGAGTCGTCTTTGATGTACTCCATGTATAACTTGCTGCGGGCGAATTTCCACTCCGTGTCGGCCTGAGCCTACAATGTACAGGATTTTATATGCATACGTTTGTAAGCATGTGTATACGCGTGCGCAGTATTGGAAGAAAAGTAGCAAAGTGCTTCCAGAGCCCAATGTGCACATACCTGAATAATCTCAAATGACCGGGTCATCATGGCAATAAGCATGTTGAGGAGGACGATGACAATGGCGACATTGTAGGCCCCAAAGATCCAGTATCCAACGTTCTGGGTGAAGTAATTGTTGAAGTCCCCCAGTTCCACCGACGTGTGCTCCCCTCGACCCAACATTGACCAGAAGACGGTCCGAAACGTTATGTCCGGTCTGAAAGGGATGTCAGAAAATGAACATTGCACGCAATCCATATTTGTAATGATAATGATTAGTCCAGATATATGCTTAACGACTATCAGGCAGAAATGTCTATAATTTAGAGGCTCTCATAGTGTGTATGAATTTTATGCAATTTCAAATTATTCACAATGTCATGACAAAAGATTCAGTTATGCGTCTAAGCTTTGGTTTTCAATCGTGGCTACATATGCATGTATTATTTCGCACACAGAGTCGGCGGCATTCCAGCTTCATCAAGGGTGCTACGCATTATTAGAATTACAGTTTATTCCGTGAGAGCCAGTGGCTGATAGCAAGAGCAACGAAACATTGACGGGATCCGCGTAAATATTATTTTCGGTAAAATAATACGTGGTTTTCATAAATACATTATACATTAGAAAACCAACAAATACCAACATTCAGAATGTATGTATTCCAGCTGATTGGTACACATCCTCTGTACTCACATGCCAAAATATTTTTCCGCCGTCGTGGTGATGTTGTGCTGGGACATCTCCACCATCCCCCGGGTACTGGCGGGGTAGTACCAGTACAGGTTGTGGAGGCCAACCATGAAGGCGATAAATAACACCAGGAAGATCACGGCGAATTTCAGAATGTCCTATACACAAATGACATAAATAAACATTTATAGAAAATGCATTAATAATATAATGTAAATGTGATTATGCTGATGACAATTAATTGTGAGACAGAAAGCGTGTGTTCTGGGGGGAAACCCCGTCATCAATCACCCGAAGTCGTCGTAAAATCTCCGTCTATACACTGTATTTATCCCAAAAATATTCAATCGATATTCACGCGAGTGAAGTAACATGCTGGCTGTATTTCCGCTCTACATCAATGGCTCTATGGTTTTCAGAGTATGATTATGAAAACACGAAAGGACATACATATGAATTCATATTTGTCTATTTCTCATCAAATAACAATTTCATCCCGTCTCTTGGCCTGTCTGTGGACAGTTTTTAAATGTAAATATGATCTCTGCAGCTGATTCTATGCCATCAACGACACATATATTTCTATATATACATCGGCAGTTCTACTAAATGTTTCTTTTGTATACATATCTAATATACTTGTGCTTTATTTTAAAATATAATATCATAGATTTTGTTTGACATAGCGTAAATAATTGCGCATATTCACACAAGTGTTTTCTGTGGAATGAAGTTCATGGCCAGGTGGAGCTACAAGTACACTATAGTGAGTCAGTTTAGTTTTACGCCGCACCCAGCAATATTCCAACCGTATGGCAGCAGTCTGTAAATAATCGTGTCTGGATCAGACAATCCGTATATTATATAACACATTATAAGTTAAACATAAGATGTATAATTACACGGCGAACAATAATGTCGTTCCTGTTACATTAGTAATATAGATATACACTTGGTAACACATGGTGTATACCTCAAGCTCATGGTGTCAAACACTGGATTGTCAGGTCCAGATTCCATTATACACAGACCGCCGTCATATAGCTGTCAATATGGCTGAGTGCAGCGTTCAACAACAAACAAACAGAACGGTTATATGCATCTCTTTGGAACCTGAAAAGCTTACTGTAATCATTTTCGCTAGGGATATCTGCATAGGCCCAAACAGCTCGTTGGCTGGAAGAACATAGGAAACACGAGTAAAACTGATGACGTTGGCGACTGCGAACGAGGCTTCGGCGACGTTGTACGGGTCCCAACTGTCCCAGTAGAACCGATCTGAAATATACAAATTGGCTTATGTTACTGCTCGTGTAAAAGAAATACCGCAGTCAAACTCAAAGAATACTACCTGTATTAGGACGTTAAAATGTCATTGACATGTGAAATGGAAATTATATCTCATACAGAGTGGGTGACTTATACCATGCTCGAGTGTGAGTGAGTGAGTGAGTGAGTTTAGTTTTACGCCGCTTTCAGCAATATGCCAGCAATATCACGGCGGGAGACACCAGAAATCAGCTTGTACCCATGTGGGGAATCGAACCCGGGTCTTCGGCATGATGGATGAGCGAACGCTTTAACCACTAGGCTACCCCACCGCCCCGTACCAAGCTCGAACACCTTCCAGACCGGCGACCCCCGGATACTGGATTCCTCAACTTCGAAAGCCAACAACTGACAACATAAGCAAATATGACATGCAATATGCCGACTCACACACTGACAACTTGTTTCAAGTTCATCTCCTCTTACTGGCGGCAAGGGAAGTTCGGGATCACAAAATGTATTTTTGCAAAACTCTGCATTTATTAAACAATTTACACCGACACATATAATGGATGTTGGAACAGAGCACAAAAGCCAGGTACAGTTCAGCTTGTATACAAACAAACAGTTAAGAATCACAGTGAACAAAATGAACAAATTGATATCAGCATAAACAACTAAATTATAAATATATAAGGTTAGGGGATATTGAGCTTTTATCTTGGGTTCGTGTTACATGATAAGTGCGCATGTCTGCGTGTCTGTTTGTGTATGTAAGAGTCTGTTTGTGTCTGTATTTATCTGGATGTGTTTATGCGTGTCTGTCTGTATCTGTGTACGTCTATCTGTATCCAGGTGTATGTGAGTGTCTGTTTGTGTCTGTATTTATCTGAATGTGTCTATGCGTGTCTGTCTGTATCTGTGTACGTCTATCTGTATCCAGGTGTATGTGAGTGTCTGTTTGTGTCTGTATTTATCTGAATGTGTCTATGCGTGTCTGTCTGTATCCGTGTACGTCTATCTGTATCCAGGTGTATGTGAGTGTCTGTTTGTGTCTGTATTTATCTGAATGTGTCTATGCGTGTCTGTCTGTATCCGTGTACGTCTATCTGTATCCAGGTGTATGTGAGTGTCTGTGTCTGTATTTATCTGAATGTGTCTATGCGTGTCTGTCTGTATCCGTGTACGTCTATCTGTATCCAGGTGTATGTGAGTGTCTGTTTGTGTCTGTATTTATCTGGATGTGTCTACGCGTGTCTGTCTGTATCTGTGTACGTCTATCTGTATCCAGGTGTATGTGAGTGTCTGCTTGTGTCTGTATTTATCTGGATGTGTCTATGCGTGTATGTCTGCATCCGTGTATGTCTATCTGTATCCAGGTGTATGTGAGCGTCTGTTTGTGTCTGTATTTATCTGAATGTGTCTATGTGTGTCTGTCTGTATCCGTGTATGTCTATCTGTATCCAGGTGTGTGTGAGTGTCTGTTTGTGTCTGTATTTATCTGAATGTGTCTATGCGTGTTTGTCTGTATCTGTTTACGTCTGTCTGTATCCAGGTGTATGTGAGCGTCTGTTTGTGTCTGTATTTATCTGGATGTGTCTATGCGTGTCTGTCTGTATCCGTGTACGTCTATCTGTATCCAGGTGTGTGTGAGTGTCTGTTTGTGTCTGTATTTATCTGAATGTGTCTATGCGTGTCTGTCTGTATCCGTGTACGTCTATCTGTATCCAGGTGTGTGTGAGTGTCTATAGAGTACGTGCCCATACTAATGCCCGTTTGATAGTGTTAGCGCACTAAGATACCTAGGGTATTTAATACGAATACTGTTTTCCTCTTCATCCCCTTAATGTAGAGGTGAAATATACGCGTTCAACTAATAAAACTGAGTAAATGCTATAATTTCAAGACTTATAATATAACGTATGGCAGCTGGTGACTGTTCTCATCAACAAACAGTTGCCCGGTATTGAGTATTGCTCAGATAACTCATTCCGCCAAGAGTACTAAGAGTGCATCTTCGGCTCGCATGTGTCACTATGTTATTTAGATATATCTTCCCATTAACTTTGGATTTGGACATCCCATACCAAGCAGGGGAAGTTTGTTTTCAGAGAGCTTAACGTTATTATCAAATCACAACTGGCCAAAAGACACGGTACCAAAACGGCCATATATCTAGGATGGAGGCCGGATTGCGATAAAGTTAACAACAAATATGCGTCGACGAACGTCTTTCAGAGGAAATACGGTGTGTGTCTAAGATCTCAATTACATTAGGGTTTCAACTGACATATCAAGAGAGTTGATTGGCATGTATGTATGCTATGTACACCTGTCAATCAGCCTCACCTGCAATCAACCAGTACATCTGCAGTCGTGCCACCTCACTGCCTGCTAATATGCTTTTCCATGACTCGTCTTTCGCAAAGAAAATTAAGGAATAGCGCACCTGGAAAATAAACAATTTGTCGGATGTAACAAAAGATATCAAATGCAGTTACGTACTCGCCCGCTCCTTCATGTAGGCAGACAGGATGAATTAATAAATAAACCTTATGATCTAATAATTAGCTTTATTCATACCCCTTGATGCTCTGGAGCACCAGAATGACCATTTACACATTCTTATCAAGTTCAATATAGATTCACATTCCTGTTTTCGCGAGATGCATAAAAAACCTCCGGCGAGCCTCGTTAACTTTCTGATGGGCTAATCAAAACCATAATAGCAACGTTAAGACGCTGTACTTTCACTGCGAAACTTCAAAGCTCTCTGTGAAAAGGTCATTCAAGGCGCGATTCTAGGCTATTAGTGTGAGGGCGCTACAGACAATTTTGAAGCAGATCACAGGAAACCCCCTCTTGTGTTAAGAAAGCCCGCACAGCAGCAGACTAACTCGTAATACACTTATAACACTTCAGCGTCTTAAAGAAAAGTCGATATGTCAGTTTCAAGGTTACGTGAAATGAACAAGCGTAAACGTGAAACGAACAAGTCACGCTGTGAAATGAACGGGACATAACGGTAATTTATTCTTGGCGGTTGGGTGAACTGTTTCCGTAACATATTGGAGTGCGTTGACGGGAACTAATGTGACAGGTAAAGACCCCTGTCTTAACAGAGCAAGGCATGTCATATTGCTCATATACATAGAGTGATTTATTCATAAAGCGCTGTCGGCAGAATGAGGTGATGAATGCATTACTGAAGAACGGCAAATTTCCAATAGATTGAACACCAGAACAAATAAGGTATAAGTGGAACCGGCAACAAACTGCACTCAGTCACGGTAATTGCCGGAAGGAAATAACACATGTGCATCGACAGCCATGTTTGTTTATTATACCATTTTTTCAGGTGAATGAAAGCGTTCCAATATAAATGTGTTGTCCGCTCCAAACTGATTAACCCCAACAAAGCCGACCAAGCGCATATTCAACCAGAAACCGGTCAATAAGAAAGTGTTTCATTGCGTAGAGCAAGACATCCGTTAGACTCTCGCTTGAAAGCGACATACTATTGTGAGTTGCAAGGTATAAGCTATAACCGACGAGTTGTGTTTGGGTTATCTCCCCTGGTCTGGGACACTGGTATTTGACGAAGGACTTGGTACCATCTTAACCTGTGTGTGTAGTAGTCTAGTCAATACGCAACATCTTGTTGTCATCAACTAACTAGGGCTGCTAGAACAAATGAACATGTCTCACCTTGAACATACTGACAAACCTAAGGCCGAAAGACGTGACATAGAGAGTGAGGACGGCTGTGTCAAGGTAGTTGTAGAGGGAGTCAAAGTATTCAGTGAAGCCGTCATTGTACACCTGCTTTACCTCCTGCCATAACATACCTGCAAACAAAATGGACTCGTTATAACACGCCTTCAACAGATTAGAATGGTCCTATGTAACCTATTACAGAATGTAAACGCCATAACTTTGTGTATCAAAAACACATATAGATGTGCTCACATATCCACATAACATCAATTAAACAGAAAAAAATGACGGATGGAAAAGCAACATATCTGTCACAATAAAACCGGCACGTGTTTTATGACAAACCAAAGCAATTGCTTTGATTGATAAAATAAACTGATTGGTTCTGGAACCAACCCTAGGTCGTACCTATGATCCAAGTTGTCATCAATAAATGAATAATCTCAGGCTCAAATGTACGCAGCACAAAATTCTCAGGCCATCCTTGGCTGTTGTTTAAATATTTCCTGTAATGACTATGTACTTCTGCGAATGCAGAGATTTTCTTGTGTGTCGACGGACGTTCCGATGCTGTGGAGATTAGGATCATAGTCAGAAACGTCACGAACGACATCGTCTGTCCAATGAACTTTACACACGGAGACTTGAGAAAGTGGCCAACCTGCGGGAATTGAACACTTGAGGTATTATCATCATTTGCATTGAACATATTGAAAGTTAGGGCGATGCTCCTAAAATTCATCATTGTGTTTATCAGATTTGTGCCTGTAGCCCTCATTACATGACATGGCATGACCTTGTCAATAACGACATATCTATCTTTTTGGTCCTCAGATCCACCTTTTAGGCCCAAAACGAAAGCTGACAGTTAAATCGTTAACCATCACTGTTCTGTCTTGGTTAACAGATTTCTGGATTCGCGAACGATGGGTACGTGAGATGATGTCCCGTATACTAATACATATATAGGATATTCCCTGGCTTGTCATGAACACAGATATTTAAGACAGGGTTTCAGTGTATTGGTTCTGTATCTGTTTATGTAGCGAGCAACCCCTATCTCCTGCAAATCCGCCACCTACTATCTTTATTAGAATTGCACGTTTATGAGATGACGTGTGTTGAGTACGAACACCCCATAACTTGCTTTTTATCGTTTCAAAGTTATTTGTGTCAAAAGAAGCCAGCTTCAGCAGTCATCTCGTTCACACCTTTACATTGCATCATATACTTGTCATGAAACGTCCACTGACGAGTAACACTTTACATATAATGAAGAGGTATAAATAGAACCAGACATGCCCACACCCGGCATGATCGACGTGACAACATAGCCTTAGCTTTGAATGCAACTGCCCTGCAAGGGTACCAATGTGCTCAATGGTTATCCCCTTGAAGTCCTAACGGTAATTTTAGTAATACGTGGTAGAGGGAGGAAGTAATCAGCCTGCTAAAGGAACTTAAATGAGTAATGATTTCACTTGGAACGTTTACCTACGAATAGTGAAAAAAGCCATGCAGCTCTCTTAGAACGTGCCCAAAAGGGGAGTCAGGTGATACAAAGTCTGAATTTTGTCGCAATGTGTAGCATATTTGTACTGCCATGATCCAACCAAATCATTTCTTGGAAACTAACTTAACATTCAAAGATTGTTCTTTCGGTTTTTCGCATAGCCAACAAATTCTTTCTAAGATTAATAACCAGCCCTCTTTATATTAGTTTTATTTATAATATTTTTTGCATTGACCACACCATAAACCAGTGATATGAGTGTAAATATGAAACGCCAAGCAATGCATCAGAATGACAAGTCTGGCTTATCAATAACATATTCCCACTGGCGTAAAAAACTGACAGTAAAAGGTAACTGATTGGATCACTGGAAATCAGAGATGATAACAGGTTTCCGGACAAAACTAACTGTAAAAAAGCCTACATATTTAGTCAAGGCGCAGGCCGATGACATCAAATCACATCAAACGTAATATATCTACTTAGCATGGTGTTAATTTGCATCATACTAACCCGTGTTTTGGGGGCGAACCAGTAGAGTATTGCTAGGACAGGATAAAATACAGTAATGCACAAAACGATGATCCCCCGGAGGAACCAGTTGGCTCGCTCAAGAGTCCGCAGGTCCGAGTACCAGATGCTGACCAGCTTCTGTTGGCAACTTGGATGCGCTACGAACTGAAATATTGATGAATAATAACTGTTATGTGAAGAAACACGAAGATCATACTGTTTTTGAAATAGTCAAATTTATCAGATAGTACCAAATCATAAAATACATTTCGCGGAGTAAATCAGTCATTACTAGGTCTTCAGTAACCCATGCTTGTCGAAAGAGGTGAATAACGGGATCAGGTGGTCAGGCTCGCTGACTTGGTTGACACATGTCATCGGTTCCCAACTGCGTGTATCGATACTCATGCTGTTGATCACTGGATTGTCTGGTCCAGACTCAGATTATTTACATATAGCTGGAATATTGCTGAGTGTGGCTTTAGACACCAAACAAATGCACTATGTTAGAGAGGTGTCATTGCAACCTGAACACAATACAGACGGTAACATTGTCACAAGGAAGCGAGGACGCCCCGTGCCTGTATATGTGTCGACACAAATCTGTAGCGCCTCAATTAAGTTGCACCTTAAAGCAATATGGTATGTATTCAAGCGAGGTAGTTACATAAAATGTTTGTGACAAATACTCGGATCCTCGGAACAGAATTAATGTGTCACTACACTAACTCTTAGTCTGGAGATCATAGCACATATAGCAGTGTAGCAGCCTCTTAATGTACATATCAACGCACTTGCCTTGCTTAGCAAACACTAGGTTGTACAATGGAAGCACTGTGCACACTAACACTATGGCCTCCCTATGTTCAGTGTAGATCTGACAGCAAGCATGTGTCTTATTAAGATGTATAAGCATTCTTATCTTAGGCTTCGATAGGAGTTAGTTAGTATGGTGGAAATTTCCTAATACCCCGAGACTTCTGGATACACTTTAACCGTGGGTAGTGAGAGACGGTATCCAAACAACTCAGTGATGTCAGCGGCAGTTAGAAGATGGATGGTTACCATGCCAACCGTCTGGACAATCGGATGGTTCATGCCAAGAACAACTGATATCGACATTGTCAATAATATGTTTATTGCTTTTTTAGTTGTAATAAAAACAGCAAGACCATAAAACCCAAACAGAAAGCACTGAATATTGCCAAGATGAATTGCAATGTGTTACTCTTTGTACGACGCCCCGCGTATTGTGCTGTGCATCTATCAATAAAGATGCACATTTATGGAGGCGACCACATCGCCACGCTGCAATTGGCACAGTCTTTGTGTTTATGCAGGCCACAGTTTTGTTTGTATCAGTGAGCAATCGTGCAACCTGTTTGTGGAGTCGCACATGTCTAGATTCCGGTCCCATAGCCATTCATCGTTGAATAAAACCTGGACTACATGCCACTGCAGATATTGCAGTGGCCACACGAACAAATTGTTTTTGATCTGGACGTATTCATACGTCTGTTTATCCCAAGATGTAAGACACACACATTTATCTCACCTTCTTCTCGTTATACCGTATGGCCAGTTTAAGCCGAGACAGCAACTCATAGGATTCGTCCTCACTGTCACATCCCACCTTGTTTAGGAGGACCTCCAGCTCATCGTGACCTCTGACTTTATCCAGGAGCTTGACCACATACTGACTTAACTGGTCAGCCATGGACAGGTACTCCGTCTGTAAGATAACAATATTGTTGTAAAACCAAATCTGTAAACTCAAGTACTCTGGTTTGCTAACACAAACCCGCCATTTATCGCCTACGTTGATGTAAAGGGAATGCAATAACAACTGCATGCATCATCTTCAAATCATAGAAGTGTTGTGATGGGCTTTCGGGACAGTTTCAGGACCTGAATTTCTGACTGTTCCATACTCTATCAAAATACATGTCGAGTCTTTGAATGGCATTTAGAAGTGATACACAAAAAGGCAAGAATTGTATGGATGTCAACTTTATTGTGATGGACACGATGTTTCGGAGTATATCCTTATTCCTCCATCATTCCTACTTTTTCATCACCATTTACCCGATGAAGGAGTAAGAAGATACTCCGAAACGTCGTGTCCATCACAACTAAGTGGATGATATCCATAAAAGTCTTGCCTTTAAATACATGTCGTCATGCTTTGTGTCCTTTCAGAGACCTTAACTCAGCCCAATTAAACTGTATGAGCCTTGCTTAATGAAAGAGGAAAGATATCTTACAAATTCACAAACATATATTTCAACAAAAAACAATTGCTCCGATTTACAAAAAAACAAGAAATGAGGGCACATTGTACACACGCAACATTCAAATCCCTTGTTATTTTCAGTTCCCACCAGAGATGCACAACGATTTGAGGGATGAGTTTTTTACCCAAATTAAAGATGACACGTTTCTCTTGACAAGCAGTTTTTTTGTGTGCATGTGTTTTTAGAGTGTTTTTTTTATTCCAGCTCAATCAAATTACAACTCCACACACATTGTTGGATAAGACCAAATGATAGAACAGCTCCAACGGGACAGAGAACAAAAGAGGGCTAGAAAAAGTATGAGGGCTTCTTCATTCCAGCAGCATGAATACTTTTCATAAGTATGGCAAATGACATAGGCACAGCTGTAAGGACGCTTCATATATGCACTATATATGCATCAACTCATAAAGATTTTAACTATCATGTGAAAACGAGGAAAGACATTCCCTTTGAAAAGAAGAACAAGTAAGATCTTTCAATTTAGAAATATCTTCAATGTCTTTAATGGTAATGTGAACAGGGAAATGTCTTGCTATTTAAGCTTGCAAGGAAAATGACTCTTCGTCTTTTACTCAAAAGGATTATATCGTTTAGTCATCTGTGCTGAGCCGAGACTTCAAGCAAGAAGAAGGATGCTGAAGAAGGATGACCGATCTTTAGAACAAAGCCATGCAACATACAGAAGCATTCTGTATGGGTAAATCAACACATTGTATCCTTTTGTAAGTAGTATATAAATATTTCTCTATTGTTTCCGCGGATGCGTATACGCGTTAACAGTGATATTCATGCTATCAATATACACAGGGCATCTTGCCTACAGTTTGCGAAAGACGTGACGTCATAGGTCAATGTAAACGTAAAGTTATGAGAACATGATGAGTTGCAGTCATACGTAGGCTCCGTCCCCATTAGCAATGTTATCAGTATCATGCACCACTTCCAACCAGGGACATAAAACACACAACAATGACGCTCCCAAGGATGACCGCTGCCGATAAGACGCATGAATCAGACACACCAACATCAAACCAACGTTGCGACCATTAATTACCATGGTGGTCTAACCAAGTGTAAACTCTGCCAAGACAACGTTCATGTAGACCGCAGATCTGTAGTCAGGCACAGATTGGCAGATACTGTCACCTGTGACACCAGACACTGATGATCTGTCGACATCAGATAACACAAAGGCATTCATCTAGGGGTGGGGGAGGTCTACTATCCTGACCCGCCCGTGGGACAAGGTTGGAGCCCAGGACGTTCAGCTAGGCACTTCATCTTCTCCTATGCCGGAGGACCTATTTTGGGAGATAGGACTAGCTTATTGACCAGCTGATCGGACGGTCCAGCTAAATTGATGAGCCTTTCCCCCTGAAATACTGCTCGGGGTTTGTGGGTTAGGATGCAGAGATTCCCAGATAAGATAACGGTGACGTGTTTCCCTCGCCGTGTGAGATATTGATGTGGACTTTATACATGTGATTACTGGTGAATTGATGAAGTGTACCAAGAGATGTTACTGTATGGAATCCGTTAATTTCGGTAGGAAGTCTGTCACGTCATATCAGTCCTACCAAATTTCTAGTTCTGAAGATCTGTGTTGTTCAGTGATGTACGTTTGTGTTGAATGATGTAATGGGATTTTGTTCAGTGGTGTATGTTGACGTAGGGTGTCAGGTGATTTTGTTCCGTGGTGTATGTTGACGTAGGGTGTGAGGTGATTTTGTTCCATAGTGTATGTTGACGTAGGGTGTCAGGTAATTTTGTTCCGTGGTGTATGTTGAAGTAGGGTGTGAGGTGATTTTGTGCCGTGGTGTATGTTGACGTAGGGTCTCAGGTGATTTTGTACAGTGGTGTCCGTTATGAATGATATTACATGTACGTGATGCTGTTCAGTAATGTGCGTTGATGTTGAGTGATGTTACTTGATGTTGTCCATAGGTTTACGTTGATGTTGAGTGATGTTACTTGATGTTGTCCATAGGTTTACGTTGATGTTGAGTGATGTTACTTGATGTTGGCCATAGGTTTACGTTGATGCTGAGTGATGTTACTTGATGTTGTCCATAGGTTTACGTTGATGTGGAGTGATGTTACTTGATGTTGTCCATAGGTTTACGTTGATGTTGAATGATGTTACTTGATGTTGTCCATAGGCTTACGTTGATGTTGAGTGATGTTACTTGATGATGTCCATAGGTTTACGTTGATGTTGAGTGATGTTACTTGATGTTGTCCATAGGTTTATGTTGATGTTGAGTGATGTTACTTGATGTTGTCCATAGGTTTACGTTGATGTTGAGTGATGTTACTTGATGTTGTCCATAGGTTTACGTTGATGTTGAATGATGTTACTTGATGTTGTCCATAGGTTTACGTTGATGTTGAGTGATGTTACTTGATGTTGTCCATAGGTTTACGTTGATGTTGAGTGATGTTACTTGATGATGTCCATAGGTTTACGTTGATGTTGAGTGATGTTACTTGACGTTGTCCATAGGTTTACGTTGATGTTGAGTGATAGTATATGATACTGATCAGATGATGTTGAAGGAAGTTATATGATGTTGCTCAGTAGTGTACGCTGATGTCAAGTGGTTGTATGTGATGTTGTTCAGTAGTGTACGCTGACGTCAAGTGGTTGTATGTGATGTTATTCAGTGGTGTACGCTGACGTCAAGTGGTTGTATGTGATGTTGCTCAGTAGTGTACGCTGATGTCAAGTGGTTGTATGTGATGTTGCTCAGTAGTGTACGCTGATGTCAAGTGGTTGTATGTGATGTTGTTCAGTAGTGTACGCTGATGTCAAGTGGTTGTATGTGATGTTGTTCAGTAGTGTACGCTGATGTCAAGTGGTTGTATGTGATGTTGTTCAGTAGTGTACGCTGATGTCAAGTGGTTGTTTGTGCATGTTTGGGACGAGATGGATCAACGTCTACGCCGTCTTCCTCATCTGCCAGATAACGTCCTTGACCTTGCAACAGAACTTGAGAGAATCTGGCGTGACATCCCACAAGCCTTCATTGCACGTTTTATAGGCTCTATGCGTCGTCGATGCACTGTTGTTCTCAATGCCGATGGTGGACATACCCGTTATTGAGCTTGTGACATGGTCGTTTGACCCCTGTCCCGCTTGTGGACTTTTCAATTGAAATTCTCCCGACTTGTTAAGGTCTCATGATCCCTCCATTAAAGTTTATATGTACCTTTGACATTGCTATCGTACAACTGGGATCATATTTTGACAATGCACAGTTTCTTTATGTGGCTAGTATATATATAAGTGAAGGACGGAGATATGGACGACTGAATGTGTTCAAGGGTACACGGTTTGCTTTACACGTATCCAACACCTAAATATGCAAAGGTCTCGGCAAATTCAATATACCATCTGACGTACGGCATGATTTTCTTGTCCCTGCCTAGCCCAATTTAAGCTGTAAACAAATCTTCGACGTCAACAACAAAATCCTCCGTTATTACCATGGAAAACATGAGAGTTACTGGTAAGAAGAAAGAGCAGTAATCGAGGGAAAGATCAGTAATCGAAGTAAAGAGCAGTAATGGAAGCAGTGCATGGGGTGTTCGCGCCTGTGGTATATTCGTAGGTGAGAAAAGTCATCCAAAGTAGAGCCAGTTTCCGCCTGGTGTTCGGAGGACCGTCTTCCCGACATGCTACCGTTTACCCCAAACCATGTGTGTTTGACTTCTTACGATTGGATGCGTCTCTGATTTCAGCATATCTGAGTATTTGGATACGTTTCCATTACATGTCTCTAACATGTTCTTGGATGCCACATTGACAGGGGTAGTTGATTGTTGAAAGAAACACATTTTTATTTCACGACGCACTTCACAATTGTAATACTAGCTATTTCAGGTTTTATGTTGTAGCCACCAGATTTCAGGCGGTGATTTAACGACCAGTATGTGTTGCCAGAGACTTTTCTTCCTCTGAATGCCATCGGGGGAAAAATAGTGCATCGAACTTGATATTATAATATTATAGACGCGAAAAGTAAAAATCCGTCTTTTGATTGTTTTATTTATCACATACCAATTGTTTCGGGGGGTTTTGTCACGAGAAAAGCTAAAGATACGTTACCTACAGTTTCACTATGATAAACTGGTAGAAAAGCATGTTAAATTACAGCCAAATTTCACAGTTAATTACGCTAACACACTTCCTCGACATGAACATGGCAAAAGTACATTTCAAAGTACCAAAGATGGAGACGGAATCACAAGGGACGTCCATAGAGGGAATTCCTTGGGGAGAAAACTAAGCCACAATTTTCCGATTGACTTGTCTCAGATGACCCCAAAAGATAGACGTGGCGGACTTATTTCCGTCTGAGCAGTCTCAGGACGGCGAAGTCATTAGCTGTGGAAATATTGGAGTTGTGCGGTCATGCGCAGTAATATTACACAGACTGACGGTTCATTCGTGGATTGGGCAATTCCAGCTTTGACCGTAGGTGATTTATCACATTCAGCAACGGATGGTATATCTTGGAAGCATGATTCGGGGAAGGGAAGGGGGGGATACGGGGCTCTCTTTGTGACAGCTGAACAGGTTTGACTATAGATATGAAAGAAACTGTGCTTCTTACTAAATAGGTCATGTAAAGTCTGCCATCTATCTTAACCATCACGTTTCTGTGGAAGGAATGTCAACCAAATACATCCGTGTCTTTAATAATGGACCTTTTGGCGGCCATTTTGGACATATGACGCACAAGAAAACATCTACTGCATCTTAGGTTAACTGTTATTATGTTTAAACGTACCCAAATACCATTTGTTCTTTTGGAATCTGTGCATGCATATTTTGAGTTTGGATGTTTTTATACCTGCTACTCAAACTGTACGATACTGCCAACCAACTCAACAAGTTTCTTAAATCGACAATTCCATTTGAATGATGAAATTAAAGACCAATATTTTTTCATCCCTGTCAAGACGTTCATTTTCTCGTTAAGCGAATTCAATTCCACCACGTTTTGTGTAACCGCAATTTAATCATCGTATAAAAATATCTTTTTTTCTATTTCCGGATTAAGAAGCGGTTACTTTTCAAGCGGATTAAAGTATTTATAGTTCTTAACCCGAGAGCTCCTGATTGCGCTGCCACAGGGCATTCATCTGAAATGTTACTGACGGATTTAAGGGTGAATGCAATTTCTGTTCTGAATGAGATTTTTTAAAATGCCGCATAGGCATTCATACTTGAAGATATCATATTTCATGATTGAAATGGATTTTAGCAGAATATTATCTGAAGAAGCAAATATTTCCTGAGACGTGAGTATGTGAAATGGTTTTGTGGTATTGCATTTGGTGAAAGAGTCAACCACCGTCTACGACACATCGATAATCGATACTGGCACATACTACCGGAATATCGCCACCATTGCGGGTTCGATTCCCAACATCCACTGCTTCATCCTCAGGTAACTGCACCTGCTCAACTACCTCTGCTACTACTTCAACGACATCAGTAGCTGCTACTACTACCTCAAGTAACCACAGACACTACAGCTGCACGATCTGCAACGGCTTCCGGTACACCCCTACCAGTAGTATAGAGTATACTACTCCTACCTACCACGTCACGTATCCCTGCTGCTTCCGACAAGTACCAGAACCACTACATACTTCGGCACTACCTCAAATACTATAGCAACTACTGAATATATATTGGCAGGAAGTAAGCGTGCAAAGGTCATAGTTTCTATTCTGGTTAGAAACAACAAACTAAATCCACCAGATGCGTTGACTGAATGTTTATGTAAAAGCATTTTAGACGCTGGCGGGTGTATCTAAAGATAGAAAAGGTTCGAAGGCTACCTGAACAGTTTCGTCTCGATGCCGTGACCCGCTCCCTCGACAAGATCAATGTGGGGTGCCATCATGACGTGTGTCTATACGTTACAATGACACATTGTCCTGAAGACGTGTTTGCCAGACAGATCTATATGTCACCAAGCGATACCGATACCAACACCATTACTCACTATTTACTGTTTCCCCTTGTCTCATCAATGTCCATATACATATGGGGGTACTGTCAGCTAGTACACCAAGACCTCTAATTGGATTTGTATTAGGTTTGTTACCAAACACGTACACTTCCCATTCATAATGTTGTTTATGTGGTAGCCTTAGATGGTTCTGTTTTTCTTGGCTTCTACATTAGTTGATAATGTCCACACCTCGTTGCCATTCACTCAGACCATCTTGCATTTACACCATCAAGACATTGCTGAATACTACACTGATGTCTTCCGTTTGCCATAGAAAGACACAAAATTGGACAAAGACCATAGTGTGCCAATTAGACCAATCCTTCCCTAAAGTCCTTGCCTCATTTCAGGATTTGGATTTTTTTCTGACAAGGATCAGGATTAGATTACAATATAACGCTATTTTAGGAATAATATTTCTTGTTTCATCATGGTGTGCAAAACACGTTCTCCCTGAGACAGCAACAGCATAAGACCTAAACCTCAGATCAATAATTCCCAATTATTGATATTCCATATGTTGGTGAGGTATAATTATCTGCAAAGTAGTTTTCAATTCGAAAAACAATCGATGCTTTCATTTATACAATATCCTGTGCCGTTTCTAGTTTAGGGAAAGTATTCGTTGAACAAACAATTAATTTGTTGCAGAGAAATATTGTAAATATTATAATTATACCCTCAGTGTGTGTCACTCCTTTCTGGAAACTAGTTTTTGTTTTTGAAAATCGTGACTCAGACATGAAGTACCCTCCAACAAGAGAAATTACATGGTCATAACATGGGTACCCGGTGGGATAGGTCATGTGACTAACAACTCCCCTTCTAACGCCTCACAGGCAGCTTGGGTTATCCGGGGTAATAATAATCAGATTGTACTTGTAAGCGCTTTTAGAATTGCCCTTGTTTGGTTGAAATCAGCACTATACTGACTGAGTTGAGTTTTACGCCGCTTTTAGCAATATTCCAGCAATATCACGGCACAGCACTATACAAATACCCTTATTGTTATCATTATCCCACACCCGCATGTTTCAATACATTGCGTCACACATACAACTATCATCGTCAACTTCCACGCCAATGAGCGAATGTATGATGCTCCCTTTCCATTTGACCTAGTGCAGCAACACGTGATGAAGACCAAAGCAAATACGACGTTACGAGGCTCTACTGGACTGGAATATGTTCCCTCATTCGAAGAATACATCATTCCAGGAACAGGTAGAGCTGTTCAAGCGCGAAGTAATATTGGTTTTCAGGGGGCTTCCTCTATAGTATCGATGGAGGCAATCAAAGATGCGTAATATTACTCGTGCACTGTGAGATATGAACCAGACTCATTAGGACGACCATCAAGGGTTTGGCTCTTGGATCTGTTTCGATTTAACTGACCTCTGATAAGATGCGGATAAGATAAGTCTAGTTCATGTGACCTTCGTCACATCAATGGCGATTCAATGCATGGGCAGAATCTGGGAATATTCCTAAAGCAACGCGGTTGTAAGGGAAGTAGCTTAACGCAGCTACTTGAAGAGTTTCTATTAATGACAGTCTATTAATTCTACAGTCACGTAGCCACTTACAATGCATTCGATGATGTAATGATACCAGCATATAAATAAAATATAAATAATGTAAACATGCTATACTTTGCACTTTTGCAAGTGTCACTACTATGCTTTCAAACCATTGATCACGGACAGGACGGGAAAGTGTTGCAGTAGGCATTGATCATATATCTGTTTATTTGGACAGGAAGTGCCCAAGGAAACAGCAAAATTTTGAGATCAAGCCAAGACTACAAGGACTTTTCTTTGAGTAGCAGAGTGCTTACCTTATAATATTTTTCCACTTTGGCGACGGATCTGAGTTCTCTGGCCAGTTCAAATGCAGTTAGAATTGGGTCTTTACTGGACAAAGATATATAGGCGCCACTCGCCAGGCCTTTGTAAGCGTTCAGTCTTGTCTTGGCCAACCTAAGTTGGTCGAACTGTAGCTTATTACTACATTCTTGACAGTTGCAGTAATAATGATGTGGTTTAGTAATAGTTTCCCCTCGTAATAACAGCAGTTGCACGATCTCAAACTGATTCCTCTCTGCCGCCAGAATAAGCGGAGTAATGTCCGAGGAAAACGGCGAATCTTCACTGGTTTGGTTATAAAAGTAGTCCGTTTCTCCGAATCTCTTGTTCTCCTTCTTCACGTCCCTGTACTTTGGGTGTTTGAGGATAGTTTCGGCAATCTGTTCATGTCCAGCACTGATAGCCTGCAGTAGAGCTTCATGGATGCTGGAGTTGTTGCACCGGTCGAGAAGAAGTTCCACTACCTGAAATATTTGTGTACTTGTTGAGTTCATGTTATGCACGGACACAACCAAGTTCTGGAATGACTAGATTGATAATGGGAAATGGGAAACTATTTCTAAGTAAGGACTAGGCATTTTCACAGGAAGCACTGAACAGTGGGAAACTGCATGTATTTTCACAGGAAGCACTAGCCAATGGGGAAACAACGTGTATTTTCTCAGGAAGCACTAGGCAATGGGTAGCTACGTGTATTGTCACAGGAAGCACTAGGCAATAGGTAGCTACGTGTATTGTCACAGGAAGCACTAGGCAATAGGTAGCTACGTGTTTTGTCACAGGAAGCACTAGGCAATGGGTAGCTACGTGTTTTGTCACAGGAAGCACTAGGCAATGGGTAGCTACGTGTATTGTCACAGGAAGCACTAGGCAATGGGTAGCTTCGTGTTTTGTCACAGGAAGCACTAGGCAATGGGTAGCTTCGTGTATTGTTACAGGAAGCACTAGGCAATGGGTAGCTACGTGTATTGTTACAGGAAGCACTAGGCAATGGGTAGCTTCGTGTATTGTTACAGGAAGCACTAGCCAATGGGTAGCTTCGTGTATTGTTACAGGAAGCACTAGGCAATGGGTAGCTTCGTGTATTGTCACAGGAAGCACTAGCCAATAGGTAGCTACATGTTTTGTCACAGGAAGCACTAGGCAATGGGTAGCTACGTGTTTTGTCACAGGAAGCACTAGGCAATGGGTAGCTACGTGTATTGTTACAGGAAGCACTAGGCAATGGGTAGCTACGTGTTTTGTCACAGGAAGCACTAGGCAATGGGTAGCTTCGTGTATTGTTACAGGAAGCACTAGGCAATGGGTAGCTTCGTGTATTGTCACAGGAAGCACTAGGCAATAGGTAGCTACGTGTTTTGTCACAGGAAGCACTAGGCAATGGGTAGCTACGTGTTTTGTCGCAGGAAGCACTAGACAATGGGTAGCTTCGTGTATTGTTACAGGAAGCACTAGGCAACGGGTAGCTACGTGTTTTGTTACAGGAAGCACTAGGCAACGGGTAGCTACGTGTTTTGTTACAGGAAGCACTTAGCAATGGGTAGCTACGCGTTTTGTTACAGGAAGCACTAGGCAATGGGTAGCTTCGTGTATTGTCACAGGAAGCACTAGGCAATGGGTAGCTACGTGTTTTGTTACAGGAAGCACTGGGTAGTCGGAAGTTCCTTGAAGTTTCACAGGAAGCACTAGGCAATGGGTAGCTTCGTGTATTGTTACAGGAAGCACTAGGCAATGGGTAGCTTCGTGTATTGTCACAGGAAGCACTAGGCAATAGGTAGCTACGTGTTTTGTTACAGGAAGCACTAGGCAATGGGTAGCTACGTGTTTTGTTACAGGAAGCACTAGGCAATGGGTAGCTACGTGTATTGTTACAGGAAGCACTAGGCAATGGGTAGCTACGTGTTTTGTCACAGGAAGCACTAGGCAATGGGTAGCTTCGTGTATTGTTACACGAAGCACTAGGCAATGGGTAGCTACGTGTATTGTCACAGGAAGCACTAGGCAATGGGTAGCTACGTGTTTTGTCACAAGAAGCACTTAACAATGGGTAGCTACGTGTTTTGTCACAGGAAGCACGTGTATTGTTACAGGGCAATGGGTAGCTACGTGTATTGTCACAGGAAGCACTAGGCAATGGGTAGCTACGTGTTTTGTCACAGGAAGCACTAGGCAACGGGTAGCTACGTGTTTTGTTACAGGAAGCACTAGGCAATGGGTAGCTACGCGTTTTGTTACAGGAAGCACTAGGCAATGGGTAGCTACGTGTTTTGTCACAGGAAGCACTAGGCAATGGGTAGCTTCGTGTATTGTTACATGAAGCACTAGGCAATGGGTAGCTTCGTGTATTGTCACAGGAAGCACTAGGCAATGGGTAGCTACGTGTTTTGTCACAGGAAGCACTAGGCAACGGGTAGCTACGTGTTTTGTTACAGGAAGCACTTAGCAATGGGTAGCTACGCGTTTTGTTACAGGAAGCACTAGGCAATGGGTAGCTTCGTGTATTGTCACAGGAAGCACTAGGCAATGGGTAGCTACGTGTTTTGTTACAGGAAGCACTGGGTAGTCGGAAGTTCCTTGAAATTTCACAGGAAGCACTAGGCAATGGGTAGCTTCGTGTATTGTCACAGGAAGCACTAGGCAATCGGTAGCTTCGTGTATTGTCACAGGAAGCACTAGGCAATAGGTAACTACGTGTTTTGTTACAGGAAGCACTAGGCAATCGGTAGCTTCGTGTATTGTCACAGGAAGCACTAGGCAATAGGTAACTACGTGTATTGTTACAGGAAGCACTAGGCAATGGGTAGCTACGTGTTTTGTCACAGGAAGCACTAGGCAATGGGTAGCTTCGTGTATTGTTACACGAAGCACTAGGCAATGGGTAGCTACGTGTATTGTCACAGGAAGCACTAGGCAATGGGTAGCTACGTGTTTTGTCACAAGAAGCACTTAACAATGGGTAGCTACGTGTTTTGTCACAGGAAGCACTAGGCAATGGGTAGCTACGTGTATTGTTACAGGAAGCACTAGGCAATGGGTAGCTACGTGTTTTGTCACAGGAAGCACTAGGCAACGGGTAGCTACGTGTTTTGTTACAGGAAGCACTAGGCAATGGGTAGCTACGCGTTTTGTTACAGGAAGCACTAGGCAATGGGTAGCTACGTGTTTTGTCACAGGAAGCACTAGGCAATGGGTAGCTTCGTGTATTGTTACATGAAGCACTAGGCAATGGGTAGCTTCGTGTATTGTCACAGGAAGCACTAGGCAATGGGTAGCTACGTGTTTTGTCACAGGAAGCACTAGGCAACGGGTAGCTACGTGTTTTGTTACAGGAAGCACTTAGCAATGGGTAGCTACGCGTTTTGTTACAGGAAGCACTAGGCAATGGGTAGCTTCGTGTATTGTCACAGGAAGCACTAGGCAATGGGTAGCTACGTGTTTTGTTACAGGAAGCACTGGGTAGTCGGAAGTTCCTTGAAATTTCACAGGAAGCACTAGGCAATGGGTAGCTTCGTGTATTGTTACATGAAGCACTAGGCAATCGGTAGCTTCGTGTATTGTCACAGGAAGCACTAGGCAATAGGTAACTACGTGTTTTGTTACAGGAAGCACTAGGCAATCGGTAGCTTCGTGTATTGTCACAGGAAGCACTAGGCAATAGGTAACTACGTGTTTTGTCACAGGAAGCACTAGGCAATGGGTAGCTTCGTGTATTGTTACAGGAAGCACTAGGCAATGGGTAGCTTCGTGTATTGTCACAGGAAGCACTAGGCAATGGGTAGGTTCGTGTATTGTTACAGGAAGCACTTGGCAATAGGTAGCTAGGTGTTTTGTTACAGGAAGCACTAGGCAATGGGTAGCTTCGTGCATTGTTACAGGAAGCACTAGGCAATGGGTAGCTTCGTGTTTTGTTACAGGAAGCACTAGGCAATGGGTAGCTTCGTGTATTGCTACAGGAAGCACTGGGTAGTCGGAAGTTCCTTGAAGTTTCACAGGAAGCACTAGGCAATAGGTAGCTTCGTGTATTGTTACAGGAAGCACTAGGCAATGGGTAGCTTCGTGTATTGTCACAGGAAGCACTAGGCAATAGGTAACTACGTGTTTTGTTACAGGAAGCACTAGGCAATGGGTAGCTACGTGTTTTGTCACAGGAAGCACTAGGCAATGGGTAGCTACGTGTATTGTTACAGGAAGCACTAGGCAATGGGTAGCTACGTCTTTTGTTACAGGAAGCACTAGGCAACTGGTATCTACGTGTTTTGTTACAGGAAGCCCTGGGTAGTCGGAAGTTCCTTGAAGTTTCACAGGAAGCACCAGGCAATGGGAAGCTACCTGTATGTTCACAGGAAGTACTGGGCAATGGGAAGCTACGTGCGGGTATTTTCATGGGATATATGTATCAAGTACTGGGAGTATTTGCAAAGGGCCTAGAAGGCAATGGGAAACTACGACGTTATTTTTACAAAAAAGTACTAAATACGAGATAAACTACGAAAAACGAGAAAACGGAAATCTATAGGCATTTTCACAGAACAGATGAGTAAGTGGGATTCTATATGCAAGGAGTACTTTGAGGGTATAAGTCCAGTTAAACCACTAGGCAAGACGTCTGTCTCGTTATCTGTCTGTTGAGGAGACGTGACACATATGACCTTGACTACAGATCCACATCCTTTAGTAGTCTGTAGCTTACATACGTAAATGCAGCCACTTTTAACTGGAGCTATATTGCCTTGGTACAACTTAAAATGATAGCTTCATGGTACATCACGGCTCTATCCATTATGGGTATATTGGTGAAAGTTCTTTGATCTGTCCCGCGTGAAATACTGGTGAATGGTTTAAGACGATCGGACACTTACACAATATCAGTGAAACACGTAATTATGACCCTGAGGAAGCGTCATGTATCCTAGGTACTTACATTGTTACCAGGAATACCAAGCGATGAATTGAGTTAAAGAGTTATTCATTTGGTATTTGCATAAAGTAACAAATTCCTATTCCAGAAAGTACGAGTTAAAAAACAACACTTCAAGTCAACAATTCTGAAACAAATCACATGTATTTTCAGTGAAATCACGAACTGTAACAATGAACTTTAAAACAAGTGAAACTTTTTTTTTAAAATGCGTATTCGTAAGTGCTGATTGAAATTTATATGTATATCTGCTGGTTATCATAAAAGCATAACCAGATAAATCTTCTCTTCCGTACGTCTCTGAAACTCTGCATTATCAACACAAAGGATGTCTGAATATCATGCTAGACTTCTTCATGTTTATGATCAGAAAATGCTATATATTCGTGACTGTCCTATTTGAATTTTATCATGTCGATTATATCCTCCAGACATGCTACTCAAAATCTTGAGGAATTTGATACAGTTCACAGGCATATCAAACTACCATTTTTCATGTGGCTCAAAAGTGTCATTCCCTTTTTCATCAGTGAGGTTTATTCAATACTATGGAAATGACTCGCTGTTAGAGGTCTTTGACAATGTGAGCAAGATAAAAGCTTGGGTTTCACTTCATAACGTCTCTCAACATATTACGTCTTAAACCTTATTCTGTTACACATGAACATGACAGTTTGAGATTTGCAGGACAATACCCTACAGATATATTCCTTGTATTTCAGACATCTATACATTTGAGTTAGTTTAACTTCAGAGCTTTTTCCATGACCGTCTTCCATCAGTTCAAGAACAGTGTCAATTATCATAACACAATCATCACGATGAAAGCCCTTCAGACAATCCGAATGTTTAGGGGAGTAAGCTGTGTAACAGCCGAGTTGATGAATAAAACTAAAGGATTTGGTGGTAACTATACCTGGTTGGGGCTGACATACGAGCAAAATGGCCCTTGACGAGCGTGATAGAGAAGCCTATGATTAGATTTGTCCTTTTACATGACGTTGAGAGCCATCGAATGTGTCACCACGCTTATGTCTAGAGGACGGACGTACCTCTAAATGTTCGTTACCGACAGCAAGTCTGAGAGGCGTCCTGCCCAGAATATCGCTGTAGTCCACGCTCAAGTTGGTATTCTCCTCCAGAATACGCTGCACAGTTGGAATATCGCCGAACTCTGCCGCGTAGATGAATTCTTCCTCCAATATTGACAACTGTAACAACAAACGTTGCATTTGAGAACATGTATTAAACGTTAAGAGTGTCCGATTTGAGTTCACTTTACTAAACAGTAATAAAGCATTTGCGTTAATGTGTCGTGATATTGGGTATTGATATTGGTATGAAAACAGAGTTGACACGAATGTTGTAGATTGGCATGGATGAGGAGTAAATTCCGCACAACAAACACTAAACTACTGTAATAACGAACTCAAATGGACCAGTGACTTCGGTATAACCATAGTTCGGTATACTGAAAGCAAGCTGTCGGGATAAAAGCAAATTTAGTCATTATATCCGTCAGTTCCTTTAAGCGTGTTCGTAATAACATAGTGCACACAGGAACAGGATCAATTATACAATGACAAGACACAGACAGAGAATACCAACACACACAACCACAGTCAACCAAACATGCAGAAATACCGAGACATGACTGAAACACAGACATGCGGAGAAATGCATGCGAGAACACGGACACAACGAAATACCAACACACAGAAACACATTCACGGCTAGACACCATAAAAACACATTCACAAAGACATTAACACAGACACACACAGATTTTTGATTTCATGAAAAGCCATTTCCCTAACCCCAAACCTAACCCCAACCGCCACCTCAATCTCGACCCCAACCCCAAGCTTGAAAACTCTCGGACACAGCACTCCTTAAGGTGTCTCGACCAGTCGTGTGTATATTTTGCCCATGATAACCGTAAGATATTCTTTAGATGATGGAAGACCCATGCCCTGATTTTGTCTCTGCTCCAAACCACGTCCAGGGTCTCGCCTCTCTGTATCATACTTCGAGTCAATACTGCATCCTTTTCAATCATATCAACGTCTGTATTTAACGAGGATGTTGTACGTTATGTTTATCAAAGTTGTAAATCCTTTTTGTCAACTCCCAGTGTGCTTTTAAGAATCAGACTATTTGTCACTGCTACGGGTTAGTCAGATGTGGGAACGGCCATTTTATTACAGTTTCAGGATTTTCTCGTTCATTACAAACAGCATTCAGATGAAATCCTCGATTGATTTAATGTCGGATGCGGACTGGCACGCAAAACAAGATAGACGAGTTCCCGGTTGAGCTTTTGTAAATCCACTCGTCATCCACACAGCGCCTGTATTCGTACTTACACATTTATAAATACACTGAAGCAGTTTTCTAGTCACATCGCGCAGGGAGACACATCCCATGGTCTTCACACATTGCACCGCACCGACCTTCATTTGTTTGTTCGTTCGATCGTTCGTTTGTTCGTTCGTTCGTTCGTTGGATGATTGGTTCGTTTGTTTGTTTGCTATATCCATGTTTTCTGCCAACATCACGTCGCCAAATCGGACCACCTAGTCCACTTTAGTTGCCTCTTACGACAGATACAGAGGATCTGTTGAGGATCTGGGCCCCGTTCCTCAAAGGTATCGTAGCGCTACCACAGTCATAAGTCCATGTTAAAGTATCCGAGTTACGATTACCTTAGCGCTACGATCGGTTTGTGGAACGGGGCCCTGTTCGGAATTGAGTCCTGGCCAGGAAGTCAGCAATTTATGGAACCCCTCTGCACATGGTAAACTATTGTTGACGACAGTAGTCCATGTGATTTTCATGAACAAAAATAGGCAATATCAATTATAGTCCATGTGTGTGCTCATCATTTCCATAAGGTTATTTTAGATTTCAGATGGAACCATGAACTATAACTGAAAAGATGCCATGATATTAAAAACAAAGAATTGTGACTTAAATGTAATTCAGTCAAATCTGATTCCCATTCATTTCCCAATGTCCACAGTGGAATGTCGGAGAGTACCGGTACAGGTTGAAGGATTCCATTACCGCCCTCTTTGGGACCCCAAAACGACTTTACCCCTACACTAATTGTATTTCAAAGGATTGGTTTCGGCTACATCGCCATTTATTTACACAAACAAACTGTGGGCTGAGATCGATGATTGTATAATTATCTTTCAATCGAGATCGATTCACACATGGTTCGGGTCAATCGGAGTTGATAAAACAATGTAGTCCCTTAACAGACAAGAGAGAGTCGGTTTCAACTAAGTTGTCTGCTTTACCGTAAAACTTGTCATTGGACTAGGGAAAGTTTACGATTCAAACTGAATCTTGAAAAACACGAAGAACACCACACAAGTGATAATAATGACCTTCACCTTCTTTACACCGCACCGAGTAATCTCCCTTTGTATCTATGCCTTGATTGACAGGCTTCATTAATCTGTTCCATTGCAATTTGTGCCAACTGGCTGAATACTTTGGAGGCGTTTATGTCAACGCCTGTTTCTTGTCACGCCACAGATTTTATTCCTAAGCCAGGGATGTGTATCGATCCACCTGTTTTGATTTATACTATTACACGTCAACTAAATGTTTGTTGAGAACATTGTCTTTTCTTGTGACATTAATCGTGGGGATTGAATGGGGAGTTTTGGCCGTTCATTGAGGTATGCGAATCAAACATGTGCAAACATTTGAAAACATCTGCGAATTCAAACAGATGGCACTTCATTTTTTCAATTCATAACCTCATTGAATCGAAAGCAATACACAGCCATAGGTTTCTGGCGAGCAGAAAGGACACAACTCCGCACAGGAAATCGCCACAGCCGATGGTCACCTGTATTACCTCTCCCCAGCCCCCAGCTTTCCTTTAGAGGCTGCCAGGACTATAGGTGAAACCATCTGATACAATAATCAAAGTCTCCGCCGGAAATTAAGAAAACAAAACAGATTCCATAGGGCACTATAAAGCACAAAACAGTGTTGAATATTATCATGAATGAAAAACTAAAAATAGGTTATGACACCAGGTGTTCACGAAATGGGTATGCATGTCCTGTAATTGATTTTAGCTTCTTGAACAGTTGTGTCTTTTACTATAACTGTTACATATTTTAGACTATGGTTTCTCTTACATTCTTTGTGCTCTACAAAGCTTTATATACTTAACCTCCTTCGTATATGGCGTGTATTGTATTTTCATGTATTTCTATCTATAATGTTATATGACTGTCCATTCATGATGTAACCAAACCTTCCCACTGGAAAATAAAGTCTTATCTTATCTTATGTTATCTTATGATGTACAGTAATTGACACCAACACCAATAATTGATATGACGTATTGTACATAAAAGGCTTACAACGATGTAAATACACCATGAGATATACAGTAATATACGAAGCGAACATAAGAAAAATACTACCCATCAAAAGTTTAGACTCACCAGTGTATATGTAGCCATCTATTTCAGTCAACTGTTCTAAACTAGATTTTGCAAAATATTCCACACTGTTTAAAGGTACCGTTTACACATGAACTGATGTATTGTAAAACAAATTCGTAACGTTGAAAAGATTATTGTCATGATTTCAATAAATGATGAAACTCAGTGAAAATTGGCGAATTCTGAACAAAACTTTACACCAAAACGCAACTGTTCACATGCATGATATTTGCACATGCTTTTCAACAATTTGATGCATTATCCTCGTTCAGTTCATCTGTATAAGGTTTGTAGTTGGTTCCCCCAAGTTAGTGGAGAAATTCATCTTCGTTTTCACCATATATATATAACATATAGTGAGTGCTTTAAGTGAGTCTAAATTTTTTATGGATAGTATATATACAAAACATAATCTTTCTCCAAAGGTCCATTATTTATTTTCCATTCCTTTTAACTTTCAAATATATTTTCTTTGTACTGCGAGTCTCGAATGGCTCCTAACATACATCCATTCCCAGATGAACAGTAAGTTATGGCTAACAAACGATGATGATAGTGCGTCAGGTCATTGGCGATGGAGCGGGAACACCTTCAGCCATTCTGTCAATTTCTCCACCCCATGCAGGGCTACCTGAACTGTTTCGGATGGAAGGAATTAATAAAACCCACCAACAAAAAGGCTGCTCTGTTCCAGGAGCTTCACAATTATATCAACCAGGGAACTGAAAAGCGAAACGATGTTCAGTTTCAATAATATGATCTCTTGACTTAGGAGCTGTTGTGATCCCAGCCTCCAGTTCCCTTGGGGAATCAGTGAGACTCGGTAAACATCGTGACAAGAAAGGTTCCTCATTTCATCAAAATCAGCCCATTAGAATTTTTTCAGGGACTATTTTGCCTCAGTGAGTACAGGGTGATATGATGCTACATTAAGGCCTCGTTGAGGTAAAACATCATCACTTTCTCACCATTGTCAGAGCAAGGTCAGAGAATTAAAACATGGACGGCTCTCGCAGCTCAAGCCTTGCATGTCTTCTAAAAGTCGGAATTCCATTGGAAAATTCACGGAAAAACAGCTGGAATATTATGAATTTCATACAAAAATATTTTCAGCGCCGGAATATTCCGTTTTACGGATCTTCATTCCATCTAACAAATCACCACGGTATTGGCAGAGGCTAAATTATAACTATATCATTCACAAGGGTTCAATAAATGTCGCGTTGCAGATTGGTGGTGTCGATTTCCTCGGCTGTGGACGACAAGCACTTAATTGACAATGACTGCTGTCAGATATGGCAAATGGCGATATGCCGGGCATATATATTCATCAGGAATGTGTGGGTGGCACGTGTCTGTGACCAACAGTTCATCTTAGTGTTGACGGGCATGCAAAGGACTTTTGAGGTTGGAAGCGGAAGTACATATATGCTAAATGTCCAGTTAAAGTGCAATCAGAAAGTAAGACGAAATAACATCAACAGAAATGGTCGAACGAGTATTAGCACGAGGAAAGTTGAAAGTCAGAAAGAGGGAAGAGATAACTGCAACAGGAAATGCAGCAGAAATAACAGTTACTGTGGCAGAAATCTAGCAGAAGGAAAGGCAAAAATAGGAAGAGCAGAGAGGGCGGCAACAAGAAGTACCAGCAACAACAAAAGGTAGAAGTATAAGGTTGAACATATTACAGGGTAGAAGTAGTTGTTGCCCAATCATTAGGCTTTAAGAAGACAGAC